TTAGAAGCAAGTCCTATTTTGTTCAGTGGAAATTACTCCCAAGTAGGGGTATTCAGCCTAACATTAGATTTTAAACAAAGAATCTGTTAATCTGTTTCTTGTTATTTTACCTTTTCAAAATTCTCAAATTATTGTAGTTAATTCTTCTTTGTTTTCTTACAATCAAGCGTTTATAGATTTTGTGAAATAAATGAGAAATTGATACCTCCTTCCCACCCACAAATTTGCTTGAGTGCATCTCCAGGATAGTGAATAGCAATATGTGCGCATTTAAATTCATTCCTTCATGAAATTCTCTTGTGCATCTCACATTAAAGGGAACAAACAGGAGCTGTGCAAGAGCAGCGCTATATTCTAACATGTATCCCACTCACTTCAATGGGACTTGCAGAAGAGAATGCCCTATTTCTACTTGATTGTTCTGTACTGTAAATGTTAGGTAAAGGGACCCCTGACCATTAGGTCCAGTAGTGGCCGACTCTGGGGTTGTGGCGCTCATCTCGCTTTATTGGCCGAGGGAGCCGGCGTACAGCTTCCGGGTCATGTGGCCAGCATGACTAAGCCGCTTCTGGCGCAATGAAACACCATGACGGAAACCAGAGCATGCAGAAATGCCCTTTACCTTCCTGCCGGAGCGGTACTTATTTATCTACTTGCACTGGCATCCTTTCAAACTGCTAGGTTGGCAGGAGCAGGGACTGAGCAACGGGAGCTCACCCCATCGCAGGGATTGGAACCGCTGACCTTCTGATGGGCAAGCCCAAGAGGCTCAGTAGTTTAGACTGCAGCACCACCCACGTCCCTGGTGGGATAAAAAACAACAACAACATGGGGTGGATGGGTGGGTGACATAGGGATTTCCAGGCATGAGGAGGTGGCAGAAAGCAAGGAACAGAAATTTAAGTTCTGCTGACACAAAAGAGGCTTCTTCTGTCTGCATGGTGCTGATGTTGCGGGCATATTCTTATACCTAAAACTGGAGGGGGGGATCTTTGATTAGAGAACTATTTTGAAGTGAAAACTTGGGGGTGGGGGACGACACAGAAGCAGCTATGTGTCCTAACAAATCCACATTTGCGGAGATGCCAGTCAGTGCTGACATGGGGCAGTTTTCCGTGGAACGAAGTGGCAATATGACAGGGAGCTTCTGAAAGCTTCACTGGTTCTGCTCAGTGTTGGAAATGAGCCAGGCACATTTTGCCACCAGTGAGAGTCCAATTGCGGCTATGTGGAGATTTCTGGCCACCGGGTTGGTGACCACAGTTTAAAAATCTCTGCCTTAGTCCATAGTTACACCATTACCATTTCCATTTCCATTTCCATTTCTGTTATGTACTGAAGTTCTCACCCTGGGCCAGCAGAGGGATACTGTAGATAGTTCAGGTCCACATATGCAAATAAGGGATTGAAAGTAACATTCAGTGATTGGATAGTTACAGAAAATGGTTACTGTTGCGTTCTAGTGGAGCTCTATATAAGCAGGCTGGCTGAACCCTTCAGTTCAGTTCAATTCTGGCCTCAGAATAAAGAAGAGCTGTTTGAAGAATTGCTGTGTCGTCTGATATGTTCACCCACAACTTAACTATTTCCATTTCCACTATGTGTGTTTGCTTCTCCTTCCTGCATAGTGGGACAAGGGAATTGCTGTAAGAGCAAGCTACAGTCAAGCAATGCACTTGAGAGTGTAGAATTCTAGTGTGGGAAGAAAACCTCAAGGGGCATGTAGCCCAACCCCCTGGCGAATAGACATTCCATTGTTGTGGCAATACAGTGGTACCTCGCAAGACGAATGCCTCGCAAGACGGAAAACTCGCAAGATGAAAGGGTTTTTGGTTTTTTGAGTTGCTTCGCAAGACGATTTTCCCTATGGGCTTGCTTCGCAAGACGGAAACGTCTTGCAAGTTTGTTTCCTTTTTCTTAACACCATTAATACAGTTGCGACTTGACTTCGAGGAGCAACTCATAGAACGCGGTGTGGTAGCCTTTTTTGAGGTTTTTGAAGACTTTGGTGATTTTTGAAGCTTTCCCAAAACTTTTCCGAAACCGTGCTTCGCAAGATGAAAAAATCGCAAGACGACAAAACTCGCGGAACAAATTAATTTCATCTTGCGAGGCACCACTGTAGTAACCTGGATTTAAAGTGTCATTTGGCCTGATTAGACAACTAATAATAATAATAATAATATTTATACCCCGCCCATCTGGTTGGGTTTCCCCAGCCACTCTGGGCGGCTCCCAACAGAATATTAAAAACACGATAAAACATCAAACATTAAAAACAAGGCTGCCTTCAGAGGTCTTCTAAAAGTCAGATAGTTGTTTCTTTCCTTGACATCTGACGGGAGGGCGTTCCACAGGGCGGGTGCCACTACCGAGAAGGCCCTCTGACTGGTTCCCTGTAACCTCACTTCTCACAGTGAGGGAACTGCCAGAAGGCCCTCGGAGCTGGACCTCTGTGTCCTGGCTGGATGATGGGGGTGGATAATAATAGGATCTTGCCTATTTTCACACACTAGCAACACATCCTTTGGAATTCTATCCATGATATTTTATTTGCACAATCAGAACGGATTTCAGGAACCAAAACGTAATGAAAAATATGACTCCCAAGCCGTCTGGCCCCATAATGGCAACTAGACATTCTGTTTAGGCAATTGTAACCCTGGTTTAAGGAGCCATTTAGCACCTAGCTTTGAGTTCTAACACCGCCTGTGAGGCACAACATTAATATGAGCTGGCATGGTTGGGGTTAGCCCAAGCCATGTAAGCTGTGCTAATAAATGACATTACCATGCAAAATGGCACCCCGCATGGGTCATGTCTGGACGTCAACCAGATCGCAGTGGCCCTAGAATGTTAACAGGAGTCAGAAAAGAAGCAGAAATCCAGACACAGGGATATGGATGTGTTTTAATCACATTTCCTGTTCATTTTAAATTTAAAAAATAATGTTTTTATTGATGCTTTTAATATTTCTTGTAAATCGCCTAGAGGTTTTACTGCAGTGAAAGTGGTAGACAGGGGGTGACCTATTAGCACACATCTGAAACATGTGAGATTGTGCACAAGCACACAAGCCAAGCCTGGAAGTAACCAAAAATGTCACAAAACACGTGCCATAACTGCACAGGATGAACTTGCTCCACTGACACATACGGGGGCCAAGAACGGACCCTCCATGTGAAATGGTCATCAACTATATGCAATTTGTTGAGTAACATTAAAATAAATAACTGACTGCATCTTCTGGTCAAAGCCCAGTGACTTGATTTCCTTTTGGGAGTCATGTGTAATATACATTTTCTTGACTATAATTTATCAGCGCATTTGGTGGGGGAGTTCTGTTTTATAAGGCGCTTAAAATAACCCATGTTTCCATGATTTTATAAAAGGATATAAGTAGCATGGTTATGAATTGAGCAAATTTTTGAAGCAATGGGTTTTTCTTGTAGTCCAGCTTCACAGACATGCGATCAAGGAGAGGGAACCACTGTTAATGTTCAAACAGATAAATAAGAGCAACAACATAATAATTCAGGAACAACAATAAGCAGTCGTAGTGTCGATGTTTTGTTGTATTTTGTGGCAATAAATGATTTCTTTTTTTATGTTGTTCTTGCCAGTTTTGGGGGAAGTACAATGGTATCTCAGGTTACATACACTTCAGGTTACATACGCTTCAGGTTAGAGACTCCGCTAACCCAGAAATATTACCTCGGGTTAAGGACTTTGCTTCAAGATGAGAACAGAAATCGTGCTCCAGCGGCGCGGTGGCAGCGGGAGGCCCCATTAGCTAAAGTGGTGCTTCAGGTTAAGAACAGTTTCAGATTAAGAATGGACCTCTGGAACGAATTAAGTACCTGAGGTACCTGAGGTACCACTGTAGTCTGAACAAAATGAACAAAATGAAAGCATAGACTCATTTCTCTCTGCTGCTCTGAAATGCTTAGTGCAATTTGTTGTGTTTTAAATTGTAACTGTGTATTCACTGCCAACCTAGCAGTTCGCAAAGCACCCCCGGGTGCAAGTAGATAAATAGGGACCGCTTACCAGCGGGAAGGTAAACGGCGTTTCCGTGTGCGGCTCTGGCTCGCCAGATGCAGCTTTGTCATGCTGGCCACGTGACCCGGAAGTGTCTCCGGACAGCGCTGGCCCCCGGCCTCTAGAGTGAGATGGGCGCACAACCCTAGAGTCTGTCAAGACTGGCCCGTACGGGCAGGGGTACCTTTACCTTTACCTAAAATAAGAGAGGGACGCGGGTGGCGCTGTGGGTAAAAGCCTCAGCGCCTAGGGTTTGCCGATCGAAAGGTAGGCAGTTCGAATCCCCGCGGCGGGGTGTGCTTCCGTTGCTCGGTCCCAGCACCTGCCAACCTAGCAGTTCGAAAGCACCCCCAGGTGCAAGTAGATAAATAGGGACTGCTTACTAGCGGGAAGGTAATCGGCGTTTCCGTGTGCTGTGCTGGTGCTGGCTCGCCAGAGCAGCTTCGTCACGCTGGCCACGTGACCCGGAAGTGTCTCCGGACAGCGCTGGCCCCCGGCCTCTTGAGTGAGATGGGCGCGCAACCCTAGAGTCTGTCAAGACTGGCCCGTACGGGCAGGGGTACCTTTACCTTTACCTTTATATTCACTGAAAGGAACTGAGGTTAAGGAGCATTATGCTATAATAATAATAATAATTTATTTATTTATTTATACTCAACCCATCTGGCTGGGTTTCTCCAGAGTGCTGGATGAGGCCCTGGGAGACTAGGGTTCAAATCTCCCCTCTGCTGCGAAGCTCACTGGATGACTTTGGGGCTGCCACTGCCTCCCAGCCTAACCTACCTCACAGGGTCGTGTGGAGATCGAATGGGGAGGAGAAGTTATGTTCGCCACCTTTTGCTCCTTGGAAAGAAGGAGGGATATAAATCAAGGAGTGAACAAATCTCTAGCTATGATTCACCTACACAGCACTTCCAGACCTCTTAATCCTTCCCACTAACCAAAATTCTCTGTTTTAGGAATTGTTGGGAGCCTAGCATCCTTGGACAAAGTTCTCCCTGCCCTTTTCCCGAAGAGCAGAGGTTGTTTTACCCCTTGAGGCTCACACCTCAGTCTCCCAAGGAATAGTTGTGTGGCGGACTGTATAAAAGTTAATGTTTTCATCCACTCGGACAAAGGAGAATGGGGACCCTACATCCAAAAGAATGAAGACTCGACAGAATAAAGACTCCGTAAGTGCCCAGGAGACTGCGGGGTAGAGAGGGGGAAGGACTCAGGGTCTCTCCAGTATTGTTGCAAAGCCATCATAGTTGGAGCCTTACTCTCCATGAATTTGTCTCAGGTCCTTTTAAAGCTATCCAAGTTGTTTTGGGCAATGAGGTAGAATAAACTTAGAGGGGGGGTCTACAGGGGAGACTTTGAGGACACTGGAAAAGCTTAAGGGTTCATGGACATAAATAGCAGGGGAGCTGGTCACTTGCGGACCATTTGCACCTGGGTGATTGGGATAATTTTTGGGTGTGGTTTGGGGGGAGAAAAGAAGCAAAAAAGGGGGGAATTTGGGTGTTAAATGGTTTCAGTTGATTCATTGTCTGCCTTTTAATTTATAAATTAAGTGACTCAATTCTAAATAAAGCCATGTCTAACAAAAAAACCCCCAACACCCTCAAGATAGGTGTGTTTTCAATATATGAAAAGTAAAGCTGGATTATTAACAAATCAATAAACTAAAGTTAACTAATCACCCTTGGGAGGAAAGGTCATCCTAAAGAGTGTTCTTTTTAATCCCCTATTACAAACGTCCTTCGGTGAAATAACTGTGTTCCTTAAACTGTCAGCCTCTGCTGATTAAGATTGAGGTCCACCAAATAATGAATGGAAAGTTTAGTGCAGAGGCCTTCAAACATCTCACCTTGGTAACTTGCCTCCTTTAGAATTCGCGGGGGAAATCTTCTAAGATGTTGCTGGACTCATACGCCCATCAATCCCAGACAACTTGGCCATTGGTCAGAGATGTTGGGAGCTGTGATCCAGCGTGATCTGGGGAGCACCTCACTGGCTACTCCTGTTCTAGGGTGTACATTCGGTCCACACAGGGTCTGGTCAGTTTTGTTGGACCTCATGAATCTTCACTTACGATGCACCTAGATCATGTATAACAGCCCCTTGCAGAAGGAAAATAATAATAATAATAATAATAATAATAATAATAATAATAATAATAATAATTTATTATTTATACCCCACCCATCTGGCTGGGCTTCCCCAGCCACTCTGGGCAGCTTCCAAAAATTATTTAGGGCTTTAAAGATCAGCACCAACACTTTGAATTGTGCTCGGAAATGTACTGGGAGCCAATGTAGGTCTTTCAAGACCGGTGTTATGTGGTCTTGGCGGCCACTCCCAGGGTTCAGCTGCCGCGTTCTGGATTAGTTGTAGTTTCCGGGTCACCTTCAAAGGTAGCCCCACGTAGAGCGCATTGCAGTAGTCCAAGCGGGAGATAACCAGAGCATGCACCACTCTGGCGAGAAAGTCCGCGGGCAGATAGGGTCTCAGCCTGCGTACCAGGTGGAGCTGGTAAACAGCTGCCCTGGATACAGAATTGACCTGCACCTCCATGGACAGCTGTGAGTCCAAAATGACTCCCAGGCTGCGCACCTGGTCCTTCAGGGGCACAGTTACCCCATTCAGGACCAGGGAATCCTCCACACCTGCCCGCCTCCTGTCCCCCCAAAAACAGTACTTCTGTCTTGTCAGGATTCAACCTCAATCTGTTAGCCGCTATCCATCCTCCAACCGCCTCCAGACACTCACACACGACCTTCACCGCCTTCACTGGTTCTGATTTGAAAGGAAGAGCAGCAGTAATGGGCAGAGTGCCTTTCAGGAAAGTTTGTGCACCATTGTTGAAGTCCACAACGAGGCATCCTTGACAAGCCTCCATGGAACCTCAGAGTTTCCTGAAACACAGCGTGAAAACTGCAGATTTATTAATGGATAAGTAAGATAATGGACTAGGCAGAACTGGCAAAATTAACAGCAAAATGAAGAGAAGCTAATGATGAGTGTTTTATGGAAGAATGGATGGTTTTTTCGGGATACTTAAGGAAATATTATAGCATGATGGAACTCACTAGCAGGATTTGAGCTATGAACCAACAGATGTAATTAGATTATAATAATTGTGGTTATGATTTAATAGATGGAAGATAGGGTGCAGCAGAAGGGGAGGAACAGCAACTCCATGGAAAACAAGGTGGGAAGTCGACAAAAAAAAGCAAAAAGACGAAATTGTGCTTTGATTGTATGTGTTAAAAATGTTGAAACTTAATAAAATATAATCGGGAGGGGGGGGGGAACCTATCACTTTGACAGTTCCATGCATCAAAGCGATGGTGCGACTCAACCCTGAGAAACACTTGTCAGAACAGGGTGGGATTGGCCCCAGCTTGGGATAAGCAGGAGACACTTTCACAGGACCGCTGAAAGAAGCCTCTCGTCTCTCCGTTAATGTTCTCTGCAGATGTCGATGCGGAGTGGTAGGAAGAAGGAGACTCCGGGGCCCCGAGAGGAGCTCAGGACGCGGGGCCGAGCCTCTCCAGGTGGCGTCAGCACTTCCAGCAGTGATGGCAAGGCTGAGAAATCCCGGCAAACGTCCAAGGTAGGTCATCATAGCTTCTGTGTCAAGCTACACTTTGGCAGCTCAAGAACTGGAAGTGACAGTAACACACTTATTTGAGTTGCACCAGATAGTCTCCAGTTTTGGTTTTTATGTGCAGTAGAAGCAAGATGTTCTACTCAAATGCACCAATGGGAAATGCAAGTTTGTGGCATTCTTCACATCCATGGCACATGGTACCTGAGACCAGTAAGACGGCATCTCTGGAACTCTTACGCTGCACCATCATGACCCTATCAAGAGTCAGGAAAATTAGAACAAGCAGTGATGAATGTTTACCTTTTATTTAATTCACCTTTGTTGTGATTTTGCAGGGGTTTGTGCGGCCTTGTTAATATGATTTTGTTTCCTTAACCTTTTTGAAAGTCTCAGTGAAAAATTGCATTAAAAAAAAAGCTGTTTTAGAAATTTCTCCAAAAAAACCACTTAGATTGTTAAAATAGTTGCCGTTCAAAAATCCTTTTGAGTGAAGTTGTTTTACCCAGCAACTGATTCTTTAGCACCTCTGTCTGTCTATCTATCTATCTATCTATCTATCTATCTATCTATCTATCTATCTATCTATCTATCTATATCTATCTATCTATCATCTATCTATCTATCATCTATCTATCATCTATCATCTATCTATCTCTATCTATCTATCTATCATCTATCTATCTATCTATCTATCTATCTATCTATCTATCTATCATCTATCTATATCTATCTATCATCTATCATCTATCATCTATCTATCTATCTATCTATCATCCATCTATATCTATCTATCATCTATCTAATCTATCTATCATCTATCTATCTATCTATCTATCTATCTATCTATCTATCTATCTATCTATCATCTATCTATCTATCTATCTATCTATCTATCTATCTATCTATCTATCTATCATCTATCTATCTATCTATCTATCTATCTATCTATCTATCTATCTATCTATCATCTATCTATATCTATCTATCATCTATCTATCCATCATCTATCTATCTATCTATCATCTATCTATCTATCTATCTATCTATCATCTATCATCTATCTATCTATCTATCTATCTATCTATCTATCTATCTATCTATCTATCATCTATCTATCTATCCATCATCTATCTATCTGTTGCTTCTTCCTCCTGGATGGAAAAGCCTCACAGTGCTATGCTCAGTGTCAGCACTGTGTCCAAGTGAGAGCAATACAAATTAACAACTGAACAACAATTGCTCCCATGAGCAAATGCTTTGCAGCACTGAGTTATGCATCCCAGAGTGCTTCCTCTTTGGAGCAATTATTGTCCACTTGTTAATTTGCATTATCTTCACTCTCACAAACATGGATAGCTCATTCGGTCAGAGTGTGGGGCTGATAACGCCAAGGCTGCAGGTTCGATCCCCATATGGGGCAGCTGCGTATTCCTGCATTGCAGGGGGTGGACTAGATGATGCTCAGGGTCCCCTCCAACTCTACAGTTCTATGTAACCACTTGTCCTGTGTTCTGTCGTCAAGTAACAAAATATGATCACCTGCATAGCCTCACAAAGCCTTCCCGTTCTCCTCCCGAACTTTGAACGATGGGATCATTCCTTGGACTAGTACAGGAAGTAGTTTCAGGTAGTTTAGCATGCACATCGTGTTACATTACATTTTCCACAGTTAAAAGAAGGCAAAAAAACAAAAACGTACATTGCAAAACTTGGGGAAGAAATTTCTAACCGGGCCTCTCTCTGCCTTGCAGAAGGGTCGGGTGGAGGAGTCCATGGCCCCTAAAGGAAGCAAGCAAAGCCGCCCGGAGGAGATATCGGAGAGCGAAGGAGAGGACACCAATGCCCCAAAGAAAACTAAAACCGAGGTGGGGCTTCCCTGGCCACAGGCCTCCTCTCCCTGCGTGCCCCAAACACCTCTTGAGGTGTCCTGTCCCAGGTCCTTCGAAGGCTGTCCCTGCCTTTCCGGTGTTCACCTGGTTTCCTGTGCTCACCTGTGCTAGGTCTGGCTGCTTGGCTGATGTGCTTCCATACCTGAGACATCACCAAGCCACAATGGCTGCAGGTTCTTCTTGCGTGAGCAAGGCATACTACCCTTGAAGAGCCCAAATTTGCTGTGCACCCAAATTCTCCCTCTAGGACCCCCCCCCCCACCTTGCGAGACCCTCTGCTCAACCTGTGCCTCATCTCTCCACTCCAGGAGCTGCCAAGACCTCAGTCTCCCTCAGACGTTGACAGCCTCGATGGCCACAGCTTCAACGATGAGACAAGCAGCGACCCTCGCGACATCGACCAGGACAACCGGAGCACCTCGCCCAGCGTCTACAGCCCTGGCAGCGTGGAGAACGACTCTGACTCCTCCTCAGTGTTGTCCCAGGGGCCGGCCCGCTCCTACCACCACCCCCCACTCTTCCCCCAGAGCCCCTCTCCTGCCCCCCTGGCAGAGGGCCTAGCTCGCCCACCAGAGCCAAACTTTAGCCTGGCAGGGGACGTCCATCCTCCGGGCCCCGCCGGCAGTTACCAGCCGCAACTTGAGGCCCAGGCCTCGAGGATTTTCCAGGCGCAAGCCCCGCCGCCTCCCACTCTGTCTGCCAATTCCTCTTCTTCCTCATCCTCACCTTCCTCCTCTACCTCCTCCTCCTCCTGCACGACCCACGTCCCCCTCTACTCTGGCGCCAACGTGGTCCAGATGGGTCCCAAAGCAGTTGGCGCAGGGCCAGGCCTCCCCGCGCCAGGCGGGCGGGAGCAAGCCCTTGGCACCAAGCACAACCCGCCCCCAACAACCCCCATTTCCTTGGCCCCGGTGGCGGGGGGCCTGCCCCCTCAGAAAACCCCTCCGAACAACTCCCCCTCGGTCCTCCCTTCCTCCACGGCCGCTTTCCCCCACGTCCTTGCCAACCTGCCCCCGCCGCCCGCTCTGAGGCCCCTCAACAATATGTCGGCCGCCTCCAGCTCCCCGGGGGTGGCGGGGCAAGCGCTGGGCGGGCACCTCCCGCCTCCCCACGGGATGGGCCAGGACAAGTCGCCCGTCCCTTCCCGCTACCCCTACGCCCCCGCCCCGCCCCCGCCCAGCTCTTCAGCCGCCCAGTACGCTCTGCCGCCCCCTTCCCAGGCCCTCCCCAGCTACAGCTCCTCCTACGGCCACTCTTTCCCCCAGCCCAGCAGCCTCTCCGTCGCCAGCCAGCCCCCCAAGTACACCCAGCCCTCCATGCCCTCCCAGCCAGTGTGGAGCCAAGGGCCGCCGCCCTATAGCCGCCCCCTGGGCAATGTCGGCTCACACCCTCCGGCCGCCTTCCCGGGCCAGGCAGCCCTCCACCAGCAGCAGCACCAGCATCACAGCCACGGCAGTGGTGCGGGGGGCCCGGCGGCGGCTGCGGCAGCCCCCCAGGCCCCCGGAGGGTATCCCCACCCATTGGAGCCAGGCCCGCACCACCCGTCCCACGCCGCCTATGGCCTCCGCCTCTACCCGCCCCACGGTCATGCCACGTACAGCCAGGCCCCCTCTGCGTCTTCCTCTTCCGCCTCCTCGTCCTCTGCCTCCTCCTCTTCTTCTTCTTCTTCTTCCACCACCTCCTCTTCTTCCTCCTCCTCTGCACCCCAGGGAACGTACCTGGGAGTATGCAGCCACCCCCAGGGGCAAAACACTGCAGCCTACACATTCCCACCGCCGCCACCGCCTTCACCTGCCCACGGAGCCGGACCACCGGTCACCTCCGCCTCCGTCACCCTCTCCACCGTCATCACCACCATGGCCTCCGCCTCGGCAGCCCCCTACAAGACGGCGTCGCCCCCGGCGGGGCCCCCCTCGGTAACCCCCTACGGGAAGCGGACGGCCTCTCCGTCCCCCACCTTCCAGCCCCCGGCCCCCTACAAGCCGGGCTCCCCTCCTTCCTCCTCCTCCTCCTCCTCTTCCTCAGCGTCCTCGTTCCGTGCAGCCACCCCACCGGGGTACAGGCTGGCCTCTTCCCCGGCGGGCGGGGGATACAAGGCCCCCTCGCCAGCCCCTGTGGCCCCCCAGCTGCAGGGGGTATGCCGGCCCCTCCCCCTCCCTTGCCCCCGCTGCCCCTCAGCGCTGCGCAGATCAAGCAAGAGCCTTCCGAGGAATACGAGCCCCCGGAGAGTCCGATGCCCCCCATCCGGAGCCCCTCGCCAGCCCCCAAGGTGGTGGACGTGGCAAGCCATGCCAGCCAGTCTGCGAGGTGAGGAAGGAAAGGGAGCGAGGGACAGGGAGGAAGGGAGAGGAATGGGGGGAGATGGGGTAAGAATGAGCGGGAAGGGTTGGGAAATCTCAGAGCGCATCATAAAAGAAGTTCTACCATTGGGTCTGCACCAATCCATGCGCAGCACCTTAGCCACCTTCTGGTGGTTTTGCTCTCAATGGCCAAAAGTGGTCCCCTGCCTTCTTCTTATAAAGCAACTGGATAGAATAATGCCTACATATTTTCACTTTAAGTAGCATGGGACTAGACCCTTCCTTTTGGTTTCAATGAAATACAGTCGTACCTTGGATCCCAAACGCTTTGGTACTCGGACGTTTTGGCTCCCGAATGCTGCAAACCCGGAAGTGACTGTTCCAGTTTGCGAACATTCTTTGGAACCCAAATGTCCTACGGGGCTCCCGCGGCTTCTGGTTGGCTGCAGGTGCTTCCTGCAGCCAACCAGAAGCCACATTTTGGTTTCTGAATGTTTTGGAAGTCAAACGGACTTCCGGAACGGATTCTGTTCAACTTCCAAGGTAGGACTGTATTAAAAACCTGGAAATGTGCCCCAGAGACTTCCCTGAGCCTTGGGGGCTGTAGGATGAGCCTTGGAAAATCTCAGAAGCCAGAACTGGACTTGTTGTGGATCAAGTGGGTGGCAATCTTCACTAGTGCCCCACAACATTCCTTGCTTTCCTCATCCCCCACCATCACTAGTGGAAACAGGATAGAATATGCAACAACAAAAGAGAGAGGGAGAATTCTGCCTATTGGCTTCATTGACCTAATTCACACAGATTGGAGAATTCATATTTTTTTTGCTCGAGAAATTAGGGAGCAGGGTCTGTGAGGGGCATAGTCTGGGGAGACAGAATGACATAGAGAAGAATCCCAAGAGGCTAGCTAGAGAGGCATTTCCCCCCCCCCCTTCCTGGGTTTTGGAGGATTCAGATACAGTTGTACCTTGGTTTTCAAACAGCTTAGTTCTCGAACGTTTTGCCTCACGAACGCCGCAAACCTGGAAGTGACTGTTCCAGTTTGTGAACTTATTTTGGAAGCCAAACATCCAATGAGGCTTCCATGGCTTCTGATTGGCTGCAGGATCTTCCCGCAGCCATTCGGAAGCCATGATTTGGATTCCGTTCGGCTTCCGAGGTATGGCTGTACAGTGGTGCCTCGCAAGACGAAATTAATTCGTTCCGCAAGTTTTTTCTTCTTGCGAGTTTTTCGTCTTGTGATGCACGGTTTCCCATAGGAATGCATTGAAAATCAATTAATGCGTTCCTAGGGAAACCACCTTCAGACCAGGTCCGGGGACAGTCTGTCCCCCGACCTCTTCTGAAGGCTGGGGGGGGGGGGGAAACAAGGGCTTTTTTCCCACTGCCAGCCTTCAGAAGGCTGTTCTGAAGGCTGGCAGTGGGAAAAAAAGCCCTTCTTCCCACCTCCCGCCCCGCAAGCTCCGGGGACGGGAGGGCTTTGCTGCCGACCGCCAGCATTTTTAAAGCCCCTGCTGTCCCGGGGCGATTTTAAAATGCTGGCGGGCGGGAGCGAAGTCTCTGCTGTCCCGGGGAGATTTTAAAATGCTGGGGGGCGGGAGCGAACGCTTCGCTCCCGCCCGCCAACATTTTAAGATCGCCCGGGGCAGCAGAGACTTCTCGCCCAAAGCAAGGGGAGCTCTCCGAAGGGCTCCCCGTGCTTCGGGCGACAGGCTGCCGCCCCAAGCCTCGCGCACCCGGCAGGACCTCCTGCCGGGCGCGCGAGGCTTGCTGACACTCGCCCGAAGCAGGGGAAGCCCTCCGGAGGGCTCCCCGTGCTTCGGGCGACAGGCTGCCGCCCCAAGCCTCGCGCACCCGGCGGGACCTCCTGCCGGGCGCGCGAGGCTTGCAGACACTCGCCCAAAGCAAGGGGAGCTCTCCGAAGGGCTCCCCGTGCTTCGGGTGACAGGCTGCCGCCCCAAGCCTCGCGCACCCGGCGGGACCTCCTGCCGGGTGCGCGAGGCTTGCAGACACTCGCCCGAAGCAGGGGAAGCCCTCCGGAGGGCTCCCCGTGCTTCGGGCGACAGGCTGCCGCCCCAAGCCTCGCGCACCCGGTGGGACCTCCTGCCGGGTGCGCGAGGCTTGCTGACACTCGCCCGAAGCAGGGGAAGCCCTCCGGAGGGCTCCCCGTGCTTTGGGCGACAGGCTGCCGCCCCAAGCCTCGCGCACCCGGCGGGACCTCCTGCCGGGCGCGCGAGGCTTGCAGACACTCGCCCAAAGCAAGGGGAGCTCTCCGAAGGGCTCCCCGTGCTTCGGGTGACAGGCTGCCGCCCCAAGCCTCGCGCACCCGGCGGGACCTCCTGCCGGGCGCGCGAGGCTTGCTTGCGAAGCAAGCCCATAGGGAAATTCGTCTTGCGAAGCGCCTCCAAAACAGAAAACCCTTTCGTCTTACGGGTTTTCCATCTTGCGAGGCATTCGTCTTGCGGGGTACCACTGTATATACATGCTATTTTTCTTTGAAGGCACATTTCTCAGTTGTCCTCACCACTTTTGGCCTTCCCTCCTTCTCCATTTCATTTGGGCGTTGACGCCTTCTTCCTTCTTCCCTTCCACAGGTTCAATAAACACCTGGATCGCGGCTTCAACTCCTGCTCACGGACCGATCTCTACTTTGTACCACTGGACGGCTCCAAGCTGGCTAAGAAGAGGGCAGATCTTGTGGAGAAGGTGCGCAGGGAGGCTGAGCAGAAGGCCCGGGAGGAGAAGGAGCGTGAAAGGGAGCGAGAGCGAGAGAAGGAGAGGGAGAGGGAGAAAGAACGGGAGCTGGAAAGAAGTGTGGTAAGTACCGGCGCAGGAGCATCCATTTCCCAATTAAAAGGGTAGGAAACTGCCAGGTTTCCACCAGTGATGAGGAGAGCCACTGTGGGACAGAACAATGGTGTGGTCAACATGGTGGTCTGGTGCTAAACCTGACGAATGAATGGCCTAACTTGGGACAAGGCCTTTTCAGTTATGCCTGTCACTGTCATGGACTGGCTGGACTCTGAGGAATGGTGGGAAAAATCAGCTGGGGAACCCCCAAGTGGAGAAGGCACAGAGTCCGGAGATTGGTGGTGGGACAACAATGAGTGGTCAGAGGGAGAAGGTGGGGAAGAGGAGGTGGAAGCTGAAGTGGTCACAGGGCTTAGTGAGCGGGGAGAGTCTGTGGCAGAGAGAAGTCCAGAATAAGAGGCAGAAGCTGAAGCAGGAGAGGAGAGAGGTCAAGAGACAGAGATGAGTCCAGCTGGTGAAGAGTCACGAGTGTCTCCCCCTCCTGCTGCAACAAGCGCTCCCAGAACCAGAAGAGGCATGAAAAGGGCAGAGGAGAGGTTGACTTCACACAGGCGCAGTATCCGATTGCTTGGGGGGGGGACCCAGAGAGGAGGGGACTTAGACAGCTGTGGGGAGGCAGGGACCTTCAATCTCAGCAAATGCTTCATGGCGGCAAACCCTACTGGAGATGAGTTGCTGTGCTCATTAGGACTGACACTCCCGTGTCGATCATGTTTTTGCCAATAAAGAGGTAATTCTCAACTTGCACAGTGTGATTTACTTATCAGGCTTGCTCCTGATAATAACACAGGACCCCTTGCTGCTAATGAAAAGGAATGTAGCTCATTGAGGCGCATTGTGTACAGGTGTATTTTGATGTATTGAATAAAATGAAAGTTTATGAGTCATGGCAGAGGGGAGAGCACCTGTACAAATTCAACATTTTGTTTTGGTAATGTTGTTAATATTGTTTTATAGATATGAATGCTGTTGTACTTCGTGAATCCTATAATATGATTTTTGGTGTAACTGTGATGTTTATGTTATTTTGTTGTTGTTTTATTAATAGCGTTACATAGATGGTAATTGTTTGATTTGGGATTGTTTTACTGATGATTTGTTAAGTACAGTGGTACCTCGGGTTAAGAACTTAATTTGTTCTGGAGGTCCGTTCTTAACCTGAAACTGTTCTTAACCTGAAGCACCACTTTACCTAATGGGGCCTCCTGCTGCTGCGCCACCAGAGCACAATTTCTGTTCTTATCCTGAAGCAAAGTTCTTAACCCGAGGTACTATTTCTGGGTTAGCGGAGTCTGTAACCTGAAGCATATGTAACCTGAAGTGTATGTAACCCAAGGTACCACTGTATTCCATACGATTTATGCTGTACCTTGGGTTACATATGCTTCAGGTTACATACGCTTCAGGTTACAGACTCCGCTAACCCAGAAATATTACCTCAGGTTAAGAACTTTGCTTCAGGATGAGAACAGAAATCGTACAGCAGCAACAGGGGGCCCCATTATCTAAAGTGGTGCTTCAGGTTAAGAACAGTTTCAGGTTAAGAACGGACCTCCAGAACGAACTAAGTTCTTAACCCAAGGTACCACTGTATTTGTGATGTTCCATTATGTTATTTTTATCTGTTGTTCATACTCCGCTTTGGGATTTATTTGAATAAAAAGCGGCATAGAAACAGAATCGATCAATCAATCGAACACGCCTCTCTCTGGTCTTTTGCAGAAGGTGGCGCAAGAAGGCCGCGCAGTGGAGTGCGCCTCCCTGGGGCCCGTCCCTCACCGCCCGTCGTTTGAGCAAGGCAGCGCCGTTGCCACTGTCCCCCCCTACCTGGGCCCCGACACGCCGGCGCTCCGCACCCTCAGCGAGTACGCGCGGCCCCACGTCATGTCCCCCAGCAACCGCAACCACCCCTTCTACGTCCCGCTGGGCGCGGTGGACCCCGGACTGCTGGGCTACAACGTGCCGGCCATCTACAGCAGCGACCCGGCCACCCGGGAGAGGGAGCTCCGAGAGCGGGAGGCCCGCGAGCGAGACCTCCGGGACCGCGACCTGCGCGAGCGCCTCAAGCCCGGCTTCGAGGTGAAGCCCGCCGAGCTGGAGCAGCTGCACGCCGTGCCCAGCGCCACCATGGATCCTTTCCCGCGCCACGGGGGGCTGGCTCTGCAGGCCGGCCCGGGCCTGCACCCCGCTTTCCCTTTCCACCCGGGGCTGGGCCACCTGGAGAGGGAGCGGCTAGCGCTGGCGGCCGGCCCTGCCCTGCGGCCCGACATGTCCTACGCCGAGCGACTGGCGGCTGAGCGGCAGCATGCTGAAAGGGTGGCCGCCCTGAGCAACGACCCCCTGGCCCGGCTGCAGATGCTCAACGTGACCCCCCATCACCACCAGCACTCCCACATCCACTCCCATCTCCATCTCCACCAGCAGGACGCCATCCACGCAGGTGAGGAGCGGGGCCTTCTCTCCAGCTTGCCTTGGCATCACTTTTAAGTCTTGTCCTTAATAATAATAATTACAGGCCATCCATCCGACTGGGTTGCCCCAGCCACTCTGGGTGGCTCCCAACAAAATATTAAACATTGAATAAACAAAATATTGAAAGCACAGGCCCCTAGCAATACTGAGGACCTTCACAGTGGTATAGCAACAACAACAACAACAATATGGAGAATGATTTGGGGCACATTTCCAGGTTTTTCATACTTCATTGAAACAAAAAGGGAAGTCTCTAGTCCCATGCTACTTAAAGTGAAAATTGTTGTTGTTGTTTAGTCGTTTAGTCATGTCTGCCTCTTTGTGACCCCATGGACCAGAGCACACCAGGCACTCCTGTCTTTCACTGCCTCCCGCAGTTTGGTCAGACTCATATTTGTAGCTTCGAGAACACTGTCCCACCATCTCGTCCTCTGTCGTCCCCTTCTCCTTGTGCCCTCCATCTTTCCCAACATCAGGGTCTTTTCCAGGGAGTCTTCTCTTCTCATGAGGTGGCCAAAGTCTTGGAGCCTCAGCTTCAGGATCTGTCCTTCCAGTGAGCACTCAGGGCTGATTTCCTTAAGAATGGAGAGGTTTGTTCTTCTTGCAGTCCATGGGACTCTCAAGAGTCTCCTCCAGCACTGTAATTCAAATATGTAGACATTATTATTTCTAGTTGCTTTGTAAGACAATTTGGGCGGCTCCCAACAAATAAAAGCATAATAAAACATCAAATATTAAAAACTTTCCTGAACAGGGTTGCCTTCAGATGTCTTCTGAAAGTCAAGTAGTTGTTTATCTGTTGTTATCTGATGGAGGCATGTTCCACAGGGAGGGTGCCACTTCTGAGCAGGCCCTCTGCCTGGTTCCCCGTAACTTCACTTCTTGCAGTCAGTTCGAGCCCCACGTTGGGCAAAAGATTCCTGCATTGTAGGGGGTGAGCCTAGGTGACCATTTGGGTCCCTTCCAGCTCATGATACAGTGACCGGCCTCTGTTCTGGTTGTGCCATTTCAGCATCGGATTCTTACACAAATGAATGCTGTTGCATACAAGATAATCTCCTGCACATGGGAAACTGGTGCGTGTCATATGGGACTAGAATCATTCTGCCTGATGTATCTTCTGCGCGATGGGGATTTTTGCACGCAGAGCAGCAGTCAGTTGTGCGGACCCCCACATTCTGTCTGACACGGTACAGCTCAAACATGGGTTTCGCACCTCACCTAGAAGTTAAGCTTCAAGCAACTGTGCTGTTCTTTTCAGCCTGGAAGTGCCAATTAATTAATTAATAGTCTGTGTATTTTCAGCCTGTTACAGGCTTTGATTGCAAGTTGAAAGACGAGCTCTTGAGACTCTGCTTCCCTCTTTCTTATCTGTGGAGTTTTTCTGCAATCCAAATTTTGCAGAGAAATGCTGGGTTCTGCCACTTGAATACTGTTACTCAAATCAAGCAAACGTCCACGCAAAATTGTTGCTTCTTTTGCATATTTCATTCTGCTTTTGCTGGTCAGGGAGGGAAAATGAACTCTGAAATACTAAAGTCTCTGGGCATAAGCTCTGGACATTTTATTCAGTCACTCTTTGGGGGCTCTGTGATGTCCTACTTGTATTCCTATCTTTGCATGTGTAAAAGCTAGAACCTTGTTGAGATTCTCAGGGATCTGGTTACATGAATCAGGCCCCTTCATGAGAGGAAGAGGAGGGTATGAATGTTAATGTGAGCAATGACATCCAGCACCTTGTATCATCTCAGCTACAAATTCTCTCTGTAGCTGTAGATATTATGTTGTGAACTGCCCTGAGATCTATGGGATGAAGGGCGGTAAACAAATGTAATAAATAACAACAACAACAATAATAGCTGTTTTTCTCAGTGGATCCAATGCCCATCTGCAATGTGTGGGTAACACTTGTCTACCTTAGAAGGATGTTGCAAAGATTACTGAAAAAATGCCACATAAATGCTAACATACAATTTAGCCTGAATGCAAAAAAATCAGGAACAAACTGTATTTGAATTTACAGTCGTATCTCGGAAGTCAAATGCCTTGTGACTCGAACGTTTAGGCTCTCGAACGCCGCAAACCCGAAAGTGAGTGTTCCGGTTTGCAAACGTTTTTGGGAACCCAAACGTCCAATGCGGCTTTTGCAGCTTCCGATTGGCTGCAGGAACTTCCTGCAGCCAATCAGAAGCCGCACCTTGGTTTCTGAACGTTTTGGAAGTCGAATGGACTTCCGGAACGGATTCCGTTCGACTTCCAAGGTAGGACTGTATTACATATTACACAACACCTCCCCCCCCTCCTGTTGCTCTCTATATCCCATGCCATAAGCTAACTGTTTACAATCTCCATTTCCTCAGCTTCCGCCTCTGTTCACCCTCTTATCGATCCACTGGCTTCTGGGTCGCATCTCACCCGGATACCTTACCCAGCTGGTACCATCCCTAATCCGCTCCTTCCTCACCCACTGCATGAAAATGAGGTGCTGCGCCACCAGCTTTTTGGTAAGATCTCTGTAAGGGATGGGGGGGTGCAGCACAGAGACAGCGGCAAGATGCGGGGGCAGGGAAGAGAAGTGACAGAACGAAAAGCGGGAGTGTGAGAAAATGGATTGAGTGTGGCCGAGAGCATAGGCGCATGCGTGGAACTGCAAAACAACTGTGAATCAAAAGCGAGGACCTGATTAGGGGGCAAGGGTGTAGGATAATAGACTCTGGGGGTCTGGTCTTCGCAGAAATATTATGTGCTCTTTCACACCTTCTTCTGCTGTGGGTCCTTCTCTTGCCCTTTTATTTATGGAAATAAGACAGGGAAGTGGGCAGGCAGCCTTTTCTCTCTCTAACCAATGGCTTGCCGAGAATATAAATCTGCTCCCGGCTTACAGGGTTGCAGCCAATGAATGCCAAGGCGCCGTGACAATCAACAAGCATGCGGGAGGTTATTTTTAATTACATTAGAATGTGTTTTGTTACTCTTATTAGATAAAGGGAAGAATCTTCAGCTTGCAGGCCTGTAGGTCAGACAGGTGCAAACTGAAGGTGACCCACTGCGGATTTGAGCTGGGCCACTGCTTCAGCTCTGTAAGGCAAAAGAAGTGAGCGCAGAGCAAGGGCTGGGTGGCTCACGGGCAGAGCAACTGCTTGGCATGCAGAAGGCACTAGGTACAACCCGCACAGCATTTCTAGGGTGGGGTTTGGATTTGGATTTGATACCCCGCTTTATCACTACCCGAAGGAGTCTCAAAGCGGCTAACATTCTCCTTTCCCTTCCTCTCCCACAACAAACACTCTGTGAGGTGAGTGGGGCTGAGAGACTTCAAAGAAGTGTAACTGGCCCAAGGTCACCCAGCAGCTGCATGTGGAGGAGCAGGGAAGCGAACCCGGTTCACCAGATTACGAGTCTACCGCTCTTAACCACACCACCACACTGGCTCTGTGGGAGAGGCTCCTGTCTGAAAGCTTTAGAGAGCTGCTGCCTGATGCAAAAGAAGGTGGCAAGGCAGCTTGTCTTATATACAGAAGAGGGAACGAGGGCAGACACACCTTTTCTCAGCCCTCCGCTGCAAGCTGCCTCTGCTGCTGAAATTCTGCCAGAAATTCTGAGAGCCAGTGTGGTGTAGTGGTTAAGAGCGGTAGTCTCGTAATCTGGTGAACTGGGTTCGCTTCCCTGCTCCTCCACATGCAGCTGCTGGGTGACCTTGCGCTAGTCACACTTCTTTGAAGTCTCTCAGCCCCACTCACCTCACAGAGTGTTTGTTGTGGGAGAGGAAGGGAAAGGAGACTGTGAGCCGCTTTGAGACTCCTTCGAGTAGTGATAAAGCGGGGTATCAAATCCAAACTCTTCTTCTTTTGTGCCGCTGTTAAAGAACCCGTGCTGTTCGCCATGATCACCCCAAAATGTGACTTGTCCTTGTTTTGTTCTGTGGCTCCAGCTGCGCCCTACAGAGACCTGCCAGGCTCTCTCTCGGCTCCGATGTCGGCAGCGCATCAGCTCCAAGCCATGCATGCACAGTCAGCAGAGCTCCAGCGCCTGGCCCTGGAACAGCAGCAGTGGCTGCACGCCCACCACCCTCTGCACGGAGTGCCGCTCCCCACCCAGGAGGATTACTACAGGTGAGTAGCTTCGTTGTGCATCAACAAGTTTGGTTTTGCGCTAGCACAAAGGGACCAGTAGGGATCCCAAGAGCAGAATTGTTAAGAAGCTGCCTGCTCCCAGACACAACAGCTTCCAATCTTCTCCTTAATACAGTGGTACCTCGGGTTACATACACTTCAGGTTACATACACTTTAGGTTACAGACTCTGCTAACCCAGAAATAGTGCTTCAGGTTAAGAACTTTGCTTCAGGATGAGAAGAGAAATCGTGCTCCGGCGGCGTGGCAGCAGCAGGAGGCCCCATTAGCTAAAGTGGTGCTTCAGGTTAAGAACAGTTTCAGGTTAAGTACGGACCTCCGGAACGAATTAAGTACTTAACCCAAGGTACCACTGTATAGGTTTCCAAAGTGTGTTTCAGTGTTTTAAGAGTCCTTCCTGTTGCCACAGGGCCCTAGTGATATGGAAGACGTTTACAGTGGAATAAGAATAAGAATAATATGCCACTTAGGACATCTTCCAACAAGTACTGGCCTCGGTCCAGTATATCTGAAGGAGCGTCTCCACCCCCACCGTTCTACCTGGACACTGAGGTCCAGCGCCGAGGGCCTTCTGGCGGTTCCCTCACTGTGAGAAACCAAGTTACAGGGAAGCAGGCAGAGGGCCTTCTCGGTTGTGGCACCCGCCCTGTGGAACACCCTCCCATCAGATGTCAAAGAGAACAACAACTACTAGACTTTTAGAAGACATCTGAAGGCAGCCCTGTTTAGGGAAGCTTTTCATGTTTGATGCATTACTGTATTTTAATATTTTGTTGAAAGCCACCCAGAGTGGCTGGGGATTATTATTATGAAGCATAATAATAAATAATCAAACATTAAAAACTTCCCTATACAGGGCTGCCTTCAGATGTCTTCTAAGAGTCAGGTAATTGTTTATTTCTTTGACATCTGATGGGAGGGCCATTCCACAGGGTGGGCGCCACTACCAAGAAGGCCCTCTGCCTGGTTCCCTATAACTTCACTTCGTGTAGTGAGGGAACCACCAGAAGGCCCTCAGAGCTGGACCTCTGTGCCTGGGCTGGATGATGGAGTGGAAACGCTCCTTCAGGTATGCAGGGCCAAGGCCATTTAGGGCTTTTAAATGTCAGCCCCAACACTTTGAATTGTGCTCGGAAACGTACTTGGACCCAATGTGGATCTTTTAGGACTGGTGTTATATGGTCCCGGCGGCCACTCCCAGTCATTGGTCCAGCTGCCGCATTCTGGACTAGTTTCTGGGTCACCTTCAAAGGTAGCCCCATGAAGAGTGCATTGAACTAGTCCACGCGGGAGATAACCACAGCATGTACCACTCTGGCAGGACAGTGCGTGGGCAGGTAGGGTGTCAGCCGGCGTACCAGATGGAGCTGGTAGACAGCTGCCCTGGACACAGAAGAAGGCTGCTAATGGAAAGCGACAAGATTGCCTTGAAATGAGCAAAATAAAAGGTGCACGTTTGTGGTGTTTTGTTCACTCTTCTCTGTTTCTCCCCCTTGCTCTTCTCCCCAGTCACCTGAAAAAAGAAAGCGACAAGCCCCTCTAAGCAGATCCCATTCCCCATGGCGACGTCATTGATCCTCTTGGTGCTGCTGCTGCTTCTGAGACAGAGAGAGAGAGAGAGAGAGAGAGAGAGAGAGGAAGAGAGGAAGATTTGCCAACCAAACCCTGGAAGCTGCACAGTGACACAACTTCTAATGTCGTTTAATGGGAGAGGGACGAAAGCAGGCTTACCCCTGGCGGGAGGGGGGGTGGCAAAAGAGGAAGGACAAGCGGGGCGCCAAACACCAGGCAAGGATTTCGAACCTGTGGCTAAATGTGCCCTTGTATCCTGTAAGCAAAGGTATATAAACCATCGTGCATCTATTTTTCTGCCCTCCCCACCCCACCCCCTGCAATCCTCGGGCAAATTGCGGCCAGTCAGCAGGAACTTCGAAAGGCATGGGGGGAGTCTCCCAAAGCCCCCTTCCGCCATGCCTTGACGCAGGAGAGAGTCCAGAAGACTCGCGGGACGTTTCAAGAAGGCATGGCCCCGTTCTTGCTCAGCCCCCCCGAGAGACGGGGGCCAAGCCGAGAGGTGCAAAGCGCCACAGGACTGTTCCAAGAGGGCAGCTGCCATTTTTCTTCGTATCCATGCCTAGAGGGAAGGAGCACTGACGAGCTGCGGGACTGTTTGAAGGATGGCAACTGCCCGTTCCCCTCCCATCTCATGGGGGTGAGGAGGGCGGAGGTGGATGCAGCCGAGTGACGAAAAAAAGCACGTTTGGGACTTTCCACAATGGCAGCTGCCCCTTTCCCCCTCCACCCCCTTCCAGTTGATGTACTTTTAACTCATGCACATTCTGTTAGACGTGGCGGTTTTGCGTAGCAATTTGTGGTTCCTTGATCTCCCCGTGTGTGTGTCTAATCTCACGGTTGTATATCTTGATCTGTCCTCATATATATTTACATAAGAACATTAAAAGATGCCCAACTATGGGAGGAGAATCTCCCTACACACCCAATTTCCCCCACACACATTCTAATAGTTTTTATATAAAGGGCGCTCTTAAAAGTGTGGGGAGGGGGAGAGAAAGAAACTAGCAAAGCAACAACAACAACAAAAGAAGCATACTGGAAACGGTTCTGCTCTGTTCGTTTTCTGCACGCCCCGCGGGGGCTATTATTACCAAGAGGATAAGATTTTTGAAACCACATCCCCTGCTATTTTGTTGCAAAGTGTGGAAGTGGAACAGGACACTGCCGGAAACAGGATCTGTTGCTCTGGACTAGAGTGGAGTGGTGTTGTTATTCTGAAGCTCTCCTTTCTCCAGAGCTCTGCAGTTCAGTGTCTCCTGGCGTGTGCTTTGGGCAAGTGGCTGGATGAACCCAGTTCCTCCTTGCAAACTACCACCGCGGACTCTTTAGTTAGGTTTTCATACTGCGCTTCCAGTAGCAAGCAGAGTGTCGGTTTGTGCTTGCATTAGTGGAATCCCCAGCGTCAGATTTGGGAGGTTTAGGTAGGGGACATTTTTTCCGCTGCTCTCGCTTCACTTTACATCCCTGGTGATAGGGATCAACTATTAAAAAGACTGGGTTCACCAAGCATACCTTCTGTGCAGTGGAGGAATGCACCAGTTCATATACCGTACTTTTCCCACTATAGGACGCACTTTTTCCCCTCCAAAAATTAAGGGGAAATGTGTGTGCATCCTATGGAGCGAATGCTTGGCTTCAGCGATAGCAACGCGAAGCCTCTGAAGTGCAGAGGGAGCGCTCCCTCCACGCTCCGGAGGCTTTGCGTTGCTTTCGCTGAAGCCTGGAGAGCAAGAGGCATTGGCACGCACCGACTCCTCTCGCTCTCCAGGCTTCAGGGATAGCTGCCTGAAGCCTCCGGAGCGCAGCGGGAACTCGCACTATGCTCCGAACGCTTTGGGTTCCTTTTGCTGAAGCCGGGAGAGCAAGACTCTCCTGGCTTCAGCAGAGAGGGAGAGCTGCGCAGCGCCCCTTCAGCCAAGTGGGAGGAGAAATGGAAGGGGCTCCGTTTCTCCTGCCGCTTCGCTGAAGGGGTGCTGAGCAGAGAGGGGGAGATTTCCCCCCCCCCCCGTTCTCCCCCGTCCTACGGTCCGGTGCGTCCTATAGAGCGAAAAATAAGGTACTCGTGTAAGATAACGTGGCGGAACCACCGGCGCAATTCATTTCTATTCTTTTTCTGGGGCTGAAATGCATAAACCGTTCTCACCCACAGCACCCTTGCTTGCACAAGGAGTTATGCACATGGAAGGGGGGAGTACGCAATGCCCACTTTCAGCTTTAATACAGAAATATCTGCCAGTTTAAAAACTTCTGAGTAATATTCAGCTAACTTAATTACAGCTCATCCACACTTTTGCTTGGCCGTATTTAGATCGGATTGTGCAGCAATTAATTTCCGTGGGTCCAAGAGTTTCTTTTACTGGTCCACGGCTCTGCCTTGCAAAAATCCGATCTTGCCCCCTGAACTGAAGCAAGACCTCTCTTCGGATTGTCCATGCGTCTGATAAGATCCGATTCAGTGAGTGAGATCGGATTTTTGCAAGACACAGGCATAGAGCATCGAGAATAGCTATGGGGCGTGGGGAAATTCATCGGTACACAATGCAATAAAATGTGGGTTTTGCAAAAGTGTGAGTGAGCCCTTAGAGTAGATCCATTGAATTAATTAACATGATAAAAAGTTAAGTGCATTCATTTCAATGGATCTTGTCTGAGTAAAAGATGCATTTGACCAAATCTCATCCCTTACTTGCTTAAATCGGCAGCTCATAGCTGAGCGTGTGACGCATCATGCTACAATGTGCATACAAAGCAAGTTACAAAGCTTATCAAATACCAAATCAACAAGTGTCTTAATTTTAGCGGCCTTTGAGCTTGGCCCTCCTCTTACTCCCCTCCCACCCCCCACTATTGACCCTTGGTGGGTGGCAAGAATGGATGTTTCAACGTTCGCACTCTTCATAGTGAGCAGATGTTCATTGGAGAGGTGTGTGGGCACACTCCACAGACAAGGACATTAGGTACACCAGCAACAGCCAAAATAACCAGCTGCCTGCTGGCATCCACCCCGAAAAGTGGGCCAAACAACTTTCAATGTGGTTTGTGGGGGAACTTCTGAGTAAGAACAAGAGGCTGTCTTGTTAAGAGCCAGGCCTGCATCCAAAGAGTTCATCCACACTTCTCTTTATTCCACATCTTCTGCGTGTCTCTCTGCTTTCTAGGCACTGGTTGGAGAGGCTTTTCAACCCACTGCTCACCACTGAATTGGAACAAGCATCAATTCACAGAAAACCCGGTCAATGTCTGTTACGATTCAGCCATAAATGGTTGGTTTTCCCGGAGGGAAATGAAAAGACTCTTGGACAAGCAGAGGGTGCTTTCACAGCCTTGCAAGACGACTTGCTTCCTTTTCGTAGACTAAAAGCCACAGAATTGTAGAGCTGGAAGGGACCACAAGGATCATCTAACCTGCGGGTCCCCAGATGTTGTTGGACCACAACTCCCATCATTCCTGAGCTCTGGCCTTGCTAGCTAGGGGTGATGGGAGTTGTAGTCCAACAACATCTGGGGATCCACAGGTTGAGAACCGCTGATTCTAGTCTGACCCGCTGCAATGAAGGATTCCCCCCACCCAAGTAGGACTTGAACCCACGGGCCCTGAAATTAAGAGCCTCATGCTTTACCAACTGAGCTATCCCAGGAACTTCAACCTAAGTGGTGAAAGGTGGTGTAGATACTGCACTGTGATGCACACTAGCATGATAGCTTTTGCATTTATGGTTGTTTCAGATGCAGGGCATCAAACTTGGAGCAACCGTTCAAAAACCTCCAGCGAAACCCTAAGGATTTAGCTATTCCCTTTTTCTGTAGCACCCCATTTTGAAGAAGCCCTGTGGCTTAAAAAACCATCTCTCTTCCGCTTTGAGATTCCGAACCTATATTCCAGCTCCTCCCTTGGAATCCGTCAACTGGCAGGGGCGTGGACCCTAAGTCACTGTGTCCAGCGAAAGCCATTACTTTTAGCATATGAGCTCTACGGTGCCCAAAGCTTCATTTTCAAGGGTAAATCTAAATTCCGCAGAAAACGGGGTTGCTTTTCCCACCGCTGTTGACGCTTTGCGTTGCGCCGCAAGCAGGGATTACTGGTCACTGTCGCCTAAACTGTATTCTGTTCTCGGTGGACAAACGTCAAGCAATTTCTTTTTGGATTTGTCCAGCAGGCTTTCTGCTGCAGCTGCAGAGAGCCACCCTAAATCTGATCAAACTGCAGATTACAAAAGCCGTTATGTGTTCTTTCGTTGCCTTCCCTTTCCTTCGTATCCATAGAATAGGAAGAGAGGCGGGATTCAGCTTTCAAACAGTGCCCCTGCGTGGGTTCCCCCATACAGTATTTTCACGAGTGGGTACAAGTCCTGTCCTCATGAGCAAATCATACCTGAGCCAAAGAACCTCAGAACATGCACTGTGTTTAGAGCAAATGCACTCGGGGCGTTATAGTCACTAGAGCAGTGTTTCCCAACCTTTTTTGGGCAAAGGCACACTTGTTTCATGAAAAAAATCTCGAGGCACACCACCATTACAGCCCCGTGACGTCAGCGCGCAGCGTCACGCCGGGAGGGACATGAATTGCTAGCAAATTACATAATCACCTCCTTGAGGGCTGGCTCATCTTCTCCGAAGGCAGAACCCCATTAATTAACAGCACAGACTCACACCATAGCCAAGACGAGGGGGGAAAACCTCAGTCATGCACAGTCATGCACATGTGGGGGCTAAATGAGGACGAAGACCGGGCAGAGAGCAGGGTTCAAATCACCCCACCTGGCCAGGACAATCCCTGGGTGCTCCCTTGGGTCACTCGCCTGACCCACCTCGCAGGGCTGTTGTTGCGAGGATAACACGGGGAGAACCACGCGCGCCCCCGGGAGCTCCTTGGAGGAGAAAGCGGGCGATGAATGCAATGCACGAAATATATGAGAGGCGACCAGGTTTTGCAGGTGAGGGGCCCCCGCCAGCCTCCGCTTCCAACACCCGGCGCAACGACGCCGAAGTTTCCCCCCGGGCTCGGCTCGGGGAGCAGCGCTGCTCCCCCCGGCTCCCCTTCGCCCTCCCGGCTCTCTCTGCCGCCCACTGGGGACCCCCCTCACCTGCCAAGTCCGGAGCGCCGGTGGAAGTTGCATGCATGCAGGGCGCCGCGTTGCCATTGCATTGCACTGCACTCCATGCAACGCCTGCACGCATGCATTGCCTTGCACGCCCGCCAAGGGGTCTCCCCACGGTCCGATGCGTCCCCTCCGGCGCGGATGCAGCATTGCAAAAATAAAAAACCCCCGACGCAGCCCTACCTGGGGGGCAGCCTCCGCCTCCGCCGCTCCGCCTCCGCGGGGATCCCCAGGCTCCATCCTGCCGCCCGATCTCCGGGGGGCGCAGGCAGGCTGCGCGGGGTCTGCGCGGAAGAGCCCCTGCCCGCCCGGCCGCCGCCGCTGCGCTCATTCCATGGCCGGGAGAAGAGCGCTTCAAACAAAACGCCCGGCCCACCAGGCCACGCTGGGAAACGTAGTTTGCGCACCCCGCGCGGGCGCGGAGCCCAAGGGCGAGGGGACTACGGATCCCGGCAGCCCCCGCGCCGGGGACGGAGGGGGAGAGGCCGGGTGCAGGGATGGAGGGACGGGTGGGCGAGCGAGTGAGTGAGTGGCAGCCGCCAAGCCTTGGCCGAGAGCCAGGAAGGGCCTCCCCGGAGGAGGAGGAGGAGGAGGAGGGAGGCGCAGAGCAGGAGGGAGGGAGGGAGGGAACCCCAGGGGTCATCTAGTGACGGCGCCCCAATCGAAAATTTGACTTAAAAAAAAAAATCTTTCAATTTTTTAATTTTTCCCGCGGCACACCAGGCAACATCTCGCGGCACACTAGTGTGCCGCGGAACAGTGGTTGGGAAACACTGCACTAGAGTTAACTTATTTTCAAGCCCAATGGATGTGAAGCATCTCTTTAGCATATCTTC